CCAGTAATACCTGTTGTTAGTACTTAAAAGACTGGGTCAGGAGCTGCCCCAGTACCGTCACCAGACACGCTCTGGTAGGCAAGATCCGGTAAACAACTCGGTCAAACTCGCCGATGAAACTCGGTGAACCATCACAAAAAAAAAAAAAATACAATTCCGTAGTTGGAACAATTCACGAGCCTCCCACAAAATGCTATAGGCCATAAATAATGCTTAACATTTTAATACAATATCCACAGAAAAGCGCTAAACTCGTAAGAATCATACAGCTCATGGCTAATGGAATACAATTTGTTTTTCACATTCTTGAAAGAATGAATTGCATCAGAATAATTAGCCGAGTTAAATTTATTTATCATAGATATTAAACCAGTAATTCGTGTTTTGTATTAAGATCTGACCCTGGCCTCTTGACCCCCGTGTGTAACATTATTGTTGGATCTGGTAAGTAATCGGGAGGCCTGGTTTGGGACCGAGTCGCGGGGGCGGTGACCCCCAAAATCGTCTCACGGTAACTTTAAAAGTATAGGTGACAAGTCCAATTCGTTCCGTGTCATTTTGAAACTAATTTATAATTAAAATGCACAATACCGTGACTGGAACAATACACAACCCACACATAGGAAAATGAAACTTTAACAACGTTTCGGTCCTTCACGGACTAGTTAATGGTCCATATCGGACCGAAACGTCGTCTTTAGTTTCATTCTCCTATGTGCGGGTGATGCCTGTTTTGTATCTAATTTAGTTCTTAATTAGCTTTCGCTATTATCATCAGGGTCAACTTATGTATCATGACGTGGCAGTGTCCGAATTTAAAGCCATTGAAAATACAGTAAAACGTTAGTGAAAGATGAGAAAATCTTCAAAGTTAGGCAAAAACAGCAAGATCATGCGTGTCTTGCATGTATCAGGCAGCTGATACATTGTTGTGGTTGTTTGTTGTCCTGGAAATTTAACTGATGCGACCTGGTTAATTATCATGACATTGTTATTGTCATTTGATAATTGTTTTGTATGTTTATTCCACTTATTAAATCCTTGAAATTTTTATTTAACGGTTTTTGTGTATACCTCCGCTCGTTTTGTTTATTTCTTGTTAAGTTGTGTTTTTTCTGTCATGTGATTTTCTGTCGTTTCTGTCTGTTTCTATATTTGTTTGGGGGTCACGCTTCGATTTTGTTATTTGTATAATTTCGTAATTATTTAAATCTGTTCATTCCACTTATCATGACTTCGTTATTGCTCTCTACCGGTTATCTGCTATCCCCTTTTTATTCCACTCTCACGATTCTCTGTCACGATGGTTACCAAGCTGTTCTGTCTTCCATTCTCTATTCTTCCATCTACTTCCTCGGGGAAGTGGGAGGAGTATCCTATTATGACGTCAGTGATCCTTCCGAAGCACCACCTGTCTGCCGAAGGATCACCACCACTTTGCGCTTATTGCCTCGTAATCCTGCTCGCTGCCCCTTAAATCCACTCTTGTCATACTTTGTTTTTCTCTCCTCAGTTGCTGGGGCCAGTGTGACTACCACAACCGTAGCAGTGACGAGAGCCAAGGAGACGATAACTGTCCTTGTTGATATGGTGACTCAAGGGAACGACTCTCAGGACATGAGGCTCGGGACATGACACTTTAATGACGCATAAAAAAACAACTGTCTTTGATGATATGAGGCTATAGACACTACTTTCCTCGAAGACAGGTTAAAAGAAATGACTTTGACGAGTGGCAAAAAAATTGCCATCTTTGATGACATGGGGATAACGAAATGTTCCATTGATAGCATGATGTTAGAAAAATTAATATTTTTGAAGACATGAGACTAGGTGGGCAATAGCTAACAAGCTTGTTTATCCACGTCCAAAAAAAAAAAATGAAGTTACTTTTGCCTCGCAACACAAAATGACAATACCTACTTAATACCCAATCATATTTCCATAGAGTTATTAAATATAATATATTAAAGAAACATTACGAGAAAGAACATACAGACATTTCTCAATTTCTTATTGGGTCGCGACCCAACTTTAGGTCGCGTATTCTCATATTCATAAATTTTCCTTCTATTTGAAAGCACAGGATAGCGTAGAGACAATGTGGATTCGGTGCTTTCGAGTGTGAGGAAAATTCTCAATAAACATTGGGGATTAAAATGCCCTTTTCAGTTTTCTGTTGAGTAAACACTGCTTCTAAGTCAAGGAACGGAGCGAGGCGTACCCGTGACATACCTCTGAGCAGTTTTGAGAGTTCATATCTTTTCGCTGAATAACACGCTCACAAAATTTAATAAACTTAGAACCTAACCGGGAACTCATTGGCGTTTGACAGAATCGGACTGAATTTCCTAAAGAATAGAAAGTCACAATACCGAGGCAGGAACAATTCACGAAAACCCGCACTTAAGAGACTGAAACGTGTGACGTTTCGGTCCGACAAGCCTCTATGAGACTCGTTAAGGGTCCAAGTCGGACCGAAACGTCGTGACAAGTTTGTTTCCTATGTGAGGGTTTGTACTAAAGTTCCGAGTTCCGTTGTCCTTTTTTCACTTCATACCTGTGACCAGTTTCGAGTTTTACTTTAATTACTCTCACTGGCTGGTCTAAGATCTGGATGCTGTTGACCTTAAGTCCAGTGAAGAGTAGCCAATCCATGGGCATAATCAGAGAATGATTTATTTTTGGTCTATCATAATGAGACATTTTTTTCTATAGAATTTTCTAGGTTTCTTCATCCAGCATTTCCACGCACTACTTAGTTTCCTAACGAGTCTTTGATAATTCATTATGTAGCTCCAGTTTTCTGGTTGAATTTACTAAACATCCCTTCAAGTTAGCATTGGATACTATATCCGCATTGTGTTGAAGCTTATTTACACTTCGGTTTGTGAAACCAAATCTAGCATTTTCTTCAATTTCTAGTAGGTTCTGTTGCTGGTTCTGTGTACTAACTTTTCACACAGTCTTAGAAGTACTTTGGTATGAACTGTTGAGCTAGAGTACCTCACGGTACAATTTCCGGAGCACCGCTGCTGCAAATTCTCTTCCTTTCAACGTTTGGTACATTAAAATCTCTAAGGAGGATAATACGAGCAAAGTTTTAACAGGCGGCTGTCTATGTTGTCTGTTGTAGCTGCTGGTGGATTGTATACGCGGATAATTAACAGGTTTTTATTCTTTTAAGTCCTTCTGTCGTGTTATTTGATGATTTTATCAACTCAATGCAAATAAAGTGAATTTTTGTAACCTATTTACTCTCTTCATATTTCACGCTTGGAAATTCTTACTTTGCGTTTCCATGAATGCTTTAAATATAGGTTTGTTTGAGCAGACGGCCAGAACTTTAGTTTTTCATCTTTTTTTTTTCTTATATATATATATAGCTCGTATTTTTACAGAGATGAAGGTAATTGTTTGTATTATTTAGCATTGATGATTTTATTAGTGAATTTAACACTGGCGAAATTGTTGGCGAGTCGAGTGTTGCTTCCACTATTGCTGTTATCTCTCGCTTTATTTTGATCTGTCGAGCGCAGCTCCCTCTTGTTGTCATGTATGCTGGTGTGTTGTCTGGTCTTTGTAATATATATATATATATATATATATTTGCATTTGCACATGTTTATCACACTGTGTGTGACCTTTTCCAGCAGCGTTGTGTATTCACGTTCTCTCCCTTGTGACTTTCCAGGCTTTTATCTGTCTGTTCAAAGTTTCTATTTTGCTGTTTCTTTTTTTTTGTCTTCGTTTATCCTTACGCTTAATAAAACACTGAGAGTGAATATTTACATTTCTAGTGAAAGCATCGACACGTCCGAAGTGACACTTAGCTGTTCGTAGCTTGTTCCTATATTTCCTGGGAAGTCCATAACAGCATTTAAACCCATATTTCCATATTCTTCTGGCATAGTATTTACATACCTGGGCAGCGATGGCACCATTTGTGACAGTTTCTGTATTTTCTCTGTCTGATTTTCTCTCTTTGTGTCATTTTCTATTCTTTCATTCGCTTCCTCCTCTTACTTTGTTTCGCTGCTTCAGGTGTTTCATCATCTTTATTCAGTGGAGGTAAATAGCATAAAATACCCACACGATAGATAAACATAAATGCAGTATAATGCGATCGTATTATACTGCAGGAATATGTTTTCCTTACCAGAATATTAAACACTACAACAGTTTCACTCCACTTAACCAATTTACTACAATAAATAAGAAAATTATAGGGGACATGTTGGTTCCCCTGCGACTTATCACTTTTCAAAAGTTACATCAATACCTCACACCTTCATTATTACATAAACATTACAATCCCTGTCAATTACCACACACATCATAGAAAAATTATCAAAATTTTCCACATTTGTGTTTATTTTTCCGGTTTTTATTCTGTTTTGTTTTCCCTTGTGTGTTCAAGTTAGCATTATATTCGTACCTTTAGTTATCTTTGGGTTTCTCGTTTCTGGTGTTATTTTCTTCCCTGTTTGTGCTGTTAGGAAAATTGTTTTTCCTCTTTTCGTAAATAAAAGGTAAGCTGTCTATGTAATTCATTTTGTTTCTTGGGGGATATCTATAGGGAAATTAGTTACCTTTCTCCATAGTGGTTTATATTCAGTGCAAATCCATTTACATTTACCCAGATGCATGTTTTCTTCCAGTAGTGTAAGTAACGTAAATCTTTTTTTTTTTTTTTTTTTTTTTTTTTTTTTTTTTTTTTTTTTTTTTTTTTTTTTTTTTTTTTTTTTTTTTGAAATTTCAAAGCTTTTACAAAGTAGTCATATTTCGCATTAATGAAATACCAGTCAAATTCTCAGTTTAGGTAAATCATGCTGAAGAAAAAACTTCTGTTTATTCACGTATCTTTTTTTTTTTATGCCTAATGTAGCATATTGGTATTTGCACAAAGAAATCATCTCTTAGCCTTAGGTGGTTTTTTGTGGAAGACAGTATACTGATGGTATAAATTTTTTATTTCAGGTAAATAGTTGGGAAGGAGCGAGTACTCGGCGACGATGATGGAGGCATTGTTGCCAGTCTTCCACTACGGTGAGATTACCAGTAGTGTATTACTTTTGTACCAAGTTCCCGGGATTATCGACTCTTGGGTCCCGGCCCAGACCAGGCATCCCTGTTAATAAAAGAGGCAGGCGCATAGTAAGCTTTTATTGTCATATTTCGTTCTATGTAGAGCTTTTTTAGACTTCAACCAGTCATTTTGACGTAATAAAGCAAGGGTGCCCAACCTGGGTGGGCACGCACCCCCAGGGGGTGAAGGCACCCACCCCCAGGAGGTGCGAGATGGCATTTCAGGGGTGCGACAGAGTCTTAATGAAAAGCACAGTTCCGTTTATTTTACCCAAAAAATTTCTAATTGCTCACTTTATATTTGCATTTTATGCACTTCATCTTCAAATGTGATTTTTTTGTAGGAGTGCAACATTAATCAAACATTTCATAGGGGTGCAGGGCAACGAGAAGGTTGAGAACCCCTGTAAAAGAGGTTTACATACAGCGAAATGTCCGAGAAGGTTGCTGGGCACCTGTGACTTTATTACTATTGACAGTACGCCTTGTAGCCTTCTTTAATTCTATCAGTCCACAGTTGCCTGGTTGACTAGAATAGCGCCTGGCCCATGGCCGGGCTCCGAGGGTAGTAAAGACTCCCGAAACTCATCAAAGGTAAGTCACACTGTTGCGGTATGTTGCATGCAAGCGCAACTGCCGAGTTGATCATTAATCTCTTAGAGGTAGTTGTCGTCTGGTAGAAACGTGTATTTTTTTGTACACCGATTGGGGTGATATAGTACGTGATGGATAAGAATTATGAAGTGCATTACACTGGGGCCTTCAGGTAATGGCTGGTGGAAGCTTGAATCTTTGTTCCATATTTGCAATCCTGACTCCTACCAATGATGGAACACTCGATAATTTCACCTACGCTACATGACTTTCAAATCTTACAAATTGCAAATATTCAGTACACACACACACACACACCTCTATTTTCCTCCTGTGTGCTTCTTAATAGTTCTTATTATTGTAATATTACCTTCCTAACCTGGGAGGCCTGGTCTGAGACCCGACCGTGGGGAAGATATTACCTAGAACCACTTGATAACAGAAATCTATTAAAATGCCGTCATCTAGCAAGAAAACTCCTTCAGTTACTTTTGGATTTTACTTGTTTCTGACGCCAACCTTTTCGCACTCTATTGTTAATTTCCTTATGTGGTTTTCAACGTCGATTTGTAGCCGCTCTTCTTATAAATTTATCGTTATCACAGGAGTGTTGATATTACAAACACAATGAAATTGATAGGCCGCAAGCCAGAGCCTTCAAACAAGAGGTGACAGGCAAATGATGATACTCTTAAAGTCGTGTGTTAATTCTAGACCAGATATTGCTGTGCACTTTTAAGGTAGGCAAAAATCACAACTGGAAAATGTACAGAAACTTTTACTGGACAAATTCGGTCAAGCACCTGAATTATTGGGAATACTTGAATTCTTTTGTAAAAATCTGGAGAGATTAGTTCCAAATCTACTCACAGTAGACAGTGGAAATGCCTCCAGTGAGGAGCACTGGTGTATTGTGTATACTTAGAGAAACTCAGTGTAAAGGGACCAGTATTATTTTTAAAACTCTCCCTTTATATACAAGGGAAATTGTCAAGCATAAATAACGCGCACGTAAGAGACCGAAACTTGTGGCTACGTTTTGGCCCGATTTGCATCGTTAATGGTCCAACTCAGATCGAAACGTCATAAATTTTTTTCTCCCATGTGCGTGGTTATTTGTGTGTTGTTCCACTCACGGTAATGTGCCTTTTTGTTTCTTTTCGGAAATTATAAGTGAATCCCTAGGTGCTCTTCAAGAGGGAATTTGATAAGTTCCTTAAGTTCCTGATCAACTGGGCTGTGATGCCTACGGTGGACTGTGTGCGGCGTTCATCCCCGAAACTACTTCCAGGTAAACACCAGATAAACACCGCACATGCATTTTGTCTTTCAGTGCATCCAAGACAAAGTCGTAATGGTCCAGCAGTTGCGAGAGGCAGGAGCGACCTGCTCTAAACCCCCTCTTCTGCAATTCTTGTGAATCCATCCATTTATCATTCTTGTTTCTTAAAACCCTTTTAAAGGTTTTAGTATTGTGGGATGTCAACGTTATCGGTCTATAGATCTTTGCAGTTGTTTTCTGGCACCTGCGGATTGGGGGTGTATCAGTGATTTTAGTGGCTAGGATAACACCTGTGTTCAGACTCCATATATAATGCACGTGTTAGTTACCATTTTGTCCTAGGCACATGTCGATTAGACACTAGGCCTGTTGTAGGTGTGTGTGTGTGTGTGTGTGTGTGTGTCGTGTGTAGTGTGTGTGTGTGTGTGTGTGTGTCAGACGCTGCATACATCGCGTTTGTTTCCCTGTTTAGTTAATTATGTTGTATTTCTGTGTGTTTAAAACCCTGAGTATTTTACAAGGTAGCAGTGTTGACACCATGCTGTGTTGCAGTGTTGACAACATGCTGTGTTGCAGTGTTGACAACATGCTGTGTTGCAGTGTTGACAACATGCTGTGTTGCAGTGTTGACAACATGCTGTGTTGCAGTGTTGACAACATGCTGTGTTGCAGTGTTGACAACATGCTGTGTTGCAGTGTTGACAACATGCTGAGTTGGTGTTGACATGCTGTGTTGCAGTGTTGACAACATTGCTGTGTTGCAGTGTTAACATTGCTGTGTAGCAGTGTTGACAACATTGCTGTGTTGCAGTGTTGACAACATGCTGTGTTGCAGTGTTGACAACATGCTGTGTTGCAGTGTTGACAACATTGCTGTGTTGCAGTGTTGACAACATTCTAGATAAGATAAGATAAGATTTCGTTCGGATTTTTAACCCCGGAGGGTTAGCCACCCAGGATAACCCAAGAAAGTCAGTGCGTCATCGAGGACTGTCTAACTTATTTCCATTGGGGTCCTTAATCTTGTCCCCCAGGATGCGACCCACACCAGTCGACTAACACCCAGGTACCTATTTGCTGCTAGGTGAACAGGACAACAGGTGTAAGGAAACGTGTCAAATGTTTCCACCCGCCGGGAATCGAACCCGGGCCCTCCGTGTGTGAAGCGGGAGCTTTAGCCACCAGACCACCGGGCCAGTGTTGACAACATGCTGTGTTGCAGTGTTGACAACATGCTGTGTTGCAGTGTTGACATGCTGTGTTGCAGTGTTGACAACATGCTGTGTTGCAGTGTTGACAACATGCTGTGTTGCAGTGTTGACAACATGCTGTGTTGCAGTGTTTACAACATTGCTGTGTTGCAGTGTTGACATGCTGTGTAGCAGTGTTGACAACATGCTGTGTAGCAGTGTTGACAACATGCTGTGTAGCAGTGTTGACAACATGCTGTGTAGCAGTGTTGACAACATGCTGTGTAGCAGTGTTGACAACATGCTGTGTAGCAGTGTTGACAACATTGCTGTGTTGCAGTGTTGACAACATTGCTTTGTTGCAATGTTGACAACATGCTGTGTAGCAGTGTTTTGTGTGTGTGTGTGTCGTGCCGAGTAGGCAAAACTTAAGATTTTGGCTTAAATGGCAATGCTTTTCTTGTCGAATAAGGCAAGCGAAAATTTGTGTATGCAATAATTTCGCAAAAATCATTCTGAACCTAAAAAAATATATTCCATTGTGTTTGTTTATTATTAAATTATTGTAAACTTATCTGAAATATATTTAATTGGATTAAGATAAATTACGCTCGTTATAGTAAGGTTAGGAAAGTTTTCTAAGGTTCTTTTGGTATAAAATTATTAATTTTTACATTAACATAAAAAATATACATCTTTAAACGTATAAGAGAAAATTTTAGAAAGGATTTAATTTTAAATGAGCTCTTGCTATTTGACCAGTTTTTACCTATTCGGCGTAAGGTATAAAATGGTGACAAAAGAAAGCCCCGGGGTGTAAGCCTTGTGCTTCTCCACAGAGGCAGTCAGAAAAAAGGTAGCGACTTCCTTTGGTGAGGCCACACACGTAAATGGCCGCCACCACTAGCACTATCCTCACCTGTGGTGTGTGTGTGTGTGTGTGTGTGTGTGTACGTACTCACCTAGGTGTACTCACCTAATTGAGGTTGCAGGGGTCGATTCCAAGCTCCTGGCCCCGCCTCTTCACTTGTCGCTACTAGGTCACTCTCCCTGAATCGTGAGCTTTATCATACCTCTGCGTAAAGCTATGTATGGATCCTGCTTTCATTACATCGCTTCCCAAACTATTCTATTTCCTGACTACTCTGTGGCTGAAGAAATGCTTCCTAACATCCCTGTGATTCATCTGTGTCTTCCAACTTCCTGGCCCTTGTTCTTGTCCACTCTGGACATCCTGTTTGTCCACCTTGTCAATTCCTCTCAGTAAATTTGTATGGTCGTTTCATTCCCCCCAAACTATCTTTCCTGTCTACTCGTGTGCTGATTGAAATGCTTCTAACCTCTCCGTGTGACATTCCTTCTTACTCTAACTGTCTTCCATGCCTCATGGGCCATCTCCTGTTTCGATGTTGTCATTGTAATTTTAGTTTTTAGTGTACATGCCCTCTGCTCCCTGTCTCCAGGTCGCCCTGGTGAATTTAACCCCCCTATTGCCTTTGAGTATACTAGTCTCCACTCAGCAACCTTTCATGATGTATTTGGTTGTGTGGGTACCTAGTTGTTCCCCAGACCATGGGTGTTACCGCCCCCATTCGCTTTGAGGTTCTGTCTCCTCTGGAAACCTCTCATTTTTCTCTGGTTGGTGTTACATACTTCACAGCACTTTGTGTTGTCTCCCCCTTCCGTCTTTCTGGAGCCTGTTACCTGGTCCTTGAACTGTTGTTTTCCTCACTATGTCGGCTGTATCAGCTTGTCTTTGTGCTTTCGCTGCTATTCGTTTTCCTATTTACTGGTCCTCTGTTTTCTCTGTGTGGTGTATCAGTTCGGAAATTTGGCTTTGTGTAGTGTTTCTAGTGTGTTGGGTCTGTGTGGTGTGTGTGTGTGTGTGTGTGTGT